TAACAATAATTATACATTCATCTCATTCAAAAATACTTGGTGTTTACTTCCATGGTTTTGATAAAAAAAAATAGATCGACTTGGGCGAATGGTTTTCATTGGATAAGAAGGAAAGTTCAGCTAAGTCTTTATACTTAGTGTTAAAAAATAGAGCAGAGCTCTATTCGTAAGTGAGACTTGTAAGGCTCGAAAAAACGTAAATAAAGGGAATACACAAAGTAAGGCTAGAACTTACAAGAGTTTCATGACTTATATATAAGGCAAGCCTTACTGTGCATGTTAACCGGCCCTATAGCGGGCGACACATCAGTTCTTTGGAACACTGTTCTGTATAAGTGGGTCTTTGCTCCATTTAGATATCCAAGTTAAGTTCATTTATTACATTTTCAACAGTGAAATACTGTGATTTATTTATTGAATAAAAGTGATATTCTCTCACAGTGTGAAAAGATACCAAAATGATATTCTCTCACAACTGCTAAGCTATGACGTCTCAACCGCTCAACGATGACGTCAAGCTTATGACACTGTGTTAAGAAAAGACAGGGGCAAAGGGAAAATCAATGAAAATGTAATAAACAGAAAATTCAATGTTTCGTAAATGAATATGGAATTTATTTCACTCGTGAGACAGGATTTTTTGATATTTTCACTCGCGCTTCGCACTCGTGAAAATATAAAAAAATCCTGTCCCACTCGTGAAATAAATTCCATATTCATCTACAAAACATTGAATATCCTTTATTTATTCACTCAAAACCATCTAATAGATATGGTACATGAGGACAATGAAAAATATTTACAACATATAAATTCTGGTCAGAGGTACAAGTATATGATATACTTATTCAGAAAATGAAAGTGAACGAAGACAAAAGAAAAAAAAAGATGAATGCATATACTAATAGTATAAATGAAGAAAAAATCCTCAACTTATATTTTTTTTTTAAAAAAATGTACATTGTTTGCTTAACAACGTACACATATTTGGAGAGTGCCTATGGTTATGTGTTGTATGGCGTAGTGGTTCTCGTGTCAGTATCTAACAAAGAAAGGCTACTCACGTTTTTTTAGGGACAATTTTTCCACAAAATAGTTTTTGTCATAATTTTATATATTTCAATAATTTAGAAGATTACTCTAAATACTTAGGTTACAAATTTATAGTTTACGCATTTAAAGCTATAGACGTTTTGCACGCCTTGCTCGTCCATCCAGCGATCGATTAAAAAAATACAAATCTGTGAAGAGGGCATAAAACACGGACCCCTTGAGATTTCCGAGGTGGAATCAGGTGCCTAGGAAGATAAAGCATCCCCTGTCGACAGGTCACACCTGTCGTGAGCCTTGTGTATTAAAAAGGTAGTCGGAGTAATCTATATAAAAATAAGCCTAACAATTGGTAGGAAATTTAAATGTACTTATCATTTTTTTCTTTTAATTAATAAGTGAATATAGGGAACGACCATTTGATTCTTGGGGAGGGGGGGGGGGTAGATGCTTCTTAATTGTGTGTTTAATATAGACTCACCACACACTGAACATATCAATTTCTATAGTTCAATTGGAACAAGCCGGGATCTCTGTTACTGACATTATTTTTCAGCTGTCCCAAATAAACTCCACCATTGAGTATGGCAATTGATGTCCTGTGTGGGTGACGTCAGAAGCAATCCAAGCAGATAGAACCTAGTCCGTTCTGTGAAATGATCAAATGCACAGAAAAATGTAGCTTTTTGTTGAATGAATTCAAGTGTGATACAAACATTTAACATTGGCATTATTATTGTTATTTTATTTATTTATCATTATCTTTTCTTGATAAACATGTACCCGTTTACATAATTACATCTAATATATGTGACTCACACTTTAATCCAGTAGCAGATCCAGAAAAAAGGGTTAATTCGACCAAAATGAAAAAATGACAAAAACAAGTTATAAATGGTGAACTAAGTTAACATACCAAGAGAGATAACTCGTCAAATTTATTATCATTTGGGAAGGGGTGGGGTGCCTATATTCGTGTTTTCATTTCAAATTGTGGAGATGTTTTGTATTCTTTTAAATTGTTGTATAATTAATCTTTAAAAAATATATCGATTGCCTTGGTAATTAACAATGCGTTAATTAAAAATGCTGTTTTGTGCCGGCATTATCGAACCCCCCCCCCCCCCCCAATTTCTTGCCCTTTATGCAATATTCGAATTATAAATAAAATTATTATAACTTTTTAAATAGTAAAAAAAATCCCATCAGTATTCTAGATTGCTTTATATGCTTCTCAAATAACACGCTGGCCATGGTCTACTCTTTGAAACAAGATGCAGTGGCGGATCCAGGATTCTTGAAAGGGAGGGGGCAACAGGCCGAGAGTGTGAGCAAAGCTTTGGAGGAAGCCCCTGGAAACTCCCAGGTTTTAAGTCTTTTGTTAAAAAAAGTTTTATGAGTCATTTTAGCTATCTTTTATGCATATAAAAGCAATATCTAACATGCAAAATGAATGGATTTATTTATCATCATCCCCCTGGGCCCCCTCTATATCCACCAGGGCGATATTTCTCTGAAGACCATTCTTCATTACACACAGTTGGGAAGAAGACATCCCGAGGCTAATAACAATATTCATTTCTAAATGCAGAACTTGATATTCTAAAATGACAACTGGTTTCGGAAATATGACGCTGGTTTTTTTCCTGGCAAATGTATATTTAGGAATTGCAGTTGAACATTCAATGAAATACATGCATTCGTGTTTAACCCGTAGTTTTCCTCCATAAAAAAATATATGTATTTATTTTTCTTTCTTTGGTTTATTATTTTCTTGATTTACACTTCAGATACTCATGAAATCTGAAAATTTAAATTTAGATATATTCATGCTTCCACCAACAGCCAACATCTTTACTTATAGTTTTTAATGCCCCCTCCTTTAATTTTTTTTTTCGCTGTCCGTGTTTTAGCGGGTTACCTAATTTATATGCGTGTTGTTTTTTTTTACCACGTACAGAACCTAGAAATAAGTCATCATTCTGTACCCCCGTTTTGCATGATTTTGTAGGAGGAAATTAAGCAATAATAAAGGCATTACATTGGTACCAGTAACTTACAAAGAAGTAGATAATAAAGAGAACATTCAATAGAACGTTTACAGACTATTTAATTAACATCATCCTGACACCTGAGCTATAGCATGAATCCATATTCTACGGGAACGCTTGCAACTTAAATTGAAATATCATTAGATTTTGAAGATTTGAAAGAATTTACAATTATTGTTCGGCTACTTTGGCTTCTCGCTCTTGGTCTTCGACTGTGATTTACACAAGTCTGAAACACAAACTTTATCGGGAAAAATTGTAAAATATATTCGGATGGACAAACAGAAGAAGAAAACCAGCCCCAAGACACCATAAGCTGAGAACAGATTTAAGTAAAAGTTTCAAATCAGTGTAATTTTTTAAATAATGTTGATAATTAAACAAAATGTTCAACATGTGTATGAATTTGTGAATTAAACAAACCTGCAAGTTTTCATGCACATGTGTTTATTAAAACTCAAGATATTCAAAATCAAAATTTTGACTCAAGTCTGTTCTCAGTTTATGGTCTTGGGGCCAGGGCATCTTCACCATGCAGTAATCCTCATCAGGTGGTCCAAGTGTCAGAGCTGAAAGAATTTTCCTGTAGTTTAATTGGAAGCTGAGTTTTGTTTTTTCAAAGTTCTTCTTTTAATATTATGCTGTTCATTGGGTGCAATTTGTTTGAGTTAAAAAAAATAATTAAATTAATCATTACAAACATTTCAGCGAATGAACCGAATCTCTCCCTTAAATTTATCGAGGGGAATAATAGTCCCTTTGTCCTGTTCAAATATATATATATATATATATATATATATATATATATATATATATATATATATATATATATATATATATATATATATATATATATCAGGCACGTAGCATCAGGAGGGCTGTCCCCCCCTTTTTTTTCCAAACATAACTTTCTACTATCGAAAATGTTCATGGAAGGGTGGTTGTCCCCCCCCCCTCCCCCCACTTTTTGTTGCAGCATAGTCAAATAAGGGAAATGGTTGTGTATAATATGGTACTGAAAGAAGTTGGAACCTAACACACCCCCCCCCCCCTGAAATAGGATTTTCGAGTTTGAAGAATTTTCCTTTATTTTTGCTTGTCAAGTTTTTTCAAGTAAGTTGAATTTTTTCTCTGGCTGACCCCCCCCCCCCCCCACTTTCAAAAACGAAAACGATGCTACGTCCCTGTATATATATATATATATACATACCAGCGATATACATATTGTTAAAGGAGTTATCTTCACTCAAAATAAATAAATACCCCCCCTTTTCAAAAAAAATGTACACTATAGTATACCAATAAAAGGTGAAAGAGACAAAGGAGGAAAGGAGAGTCTAGTGGAAGACGTTGATAAGTTGTTGTTCAAGCACAGGGGCTTGCTCCCAGGGTGTAAAAAATATATAAATAAATTTTAAAAAACATTAAAAAATCATATACCAACTACTAAGAAAAGTACTGTTTTTAGTAGTAAGTATATGATTTTTTTTACACTCCGGGAACCAGCCTTCGTGGTTCAATTTCGATTAATATTAATAATGCACTGCTTATCAAATTAGAGACTTGGTAAATTTATATAACATTATTACAATTTAAAAAAAACACGTTATTAAACTTTTTTTTAATTAAGTTTCTCAAAGAGCTTGTTTTTAATATTCACCTTGAAAACTTACATGTATGTCCCTTTTCTAAATAAAACCTAAAGTATTATTTGAAACCAAAAGTATTTCAAGTAAAACACATGCATGGAACAAACCATCAAAACATGCTGCAAGTTGTTTATCAAACTACGTCACAAAATCTCTGTATCCTTATTGGCTGTTTTTCTCTATTATTATGAATATTCATTATCAGTTCACATGTTTGGGGTCTGCGCAATTCGCCAATACCGCGGGACCCTCTAGTGGGTAATTGCTCAGCCCGCGCAGTGTTCGCTGTTCAACATTGTATTCAATCGTAATACAGATATAGTGTAGTGGAGCTATATACACATATACATCTTTCATCATGTCTATGGAAATGGCAAAGCGGATCGAGTTGGAGAAAAGGGGTAGAAAACCATCAGAAGTAAGTTTTTATTTCATTCAAGTTGTTATTTTAGCTTTACAGAGCGTCGTCACCTCTGTTTACATTCATGGCCAGGGGAACATGTGCTTTACTTGGTCAAGAGGGGATGCGGTTTTTCTGAATTATCTACTCCCACAAGAATGATAGATGAAAGGGAAGCATCTTTATATGCAAGATATACATTTTTGCTCGACTTGTTGCTAAATTAACTTAGTGTCGGTGCGTCGTTCAGTTTTCTTCAAACATTTTTTATTATCAGGACAACTGCAAAGGTCTACAAGTCAAATATGGCGCCTCTGTCATGTCCAGCTACAAGTTTGTGTTGAGAAAAAGACGAAGTCAGTAGTTGTGTTACGTTCAGTAGAAGCAATTGCTGAATTTCAAAGTCAGAAAAAAATCAACTCTTTACAAGTTGAGATATTGGGGGGAAAAAAATCAAATTAGTATAGCATGGTACATGTGCCAAATATCGACAAAGCAATTTGTAGGGTGTATATATTGATTCATAACAATAAACATGCTTCTTTTATCAAATTGGGTAACATTTTGTCCACTTGTGGAGAAGATAAAGAGGGTTTCCTGATAGTTCAAATGTATTCTTTGACATCACAACTACAGAACACAAGCCATTCGCCATGTTGGATGCACTAGAATTTATTTAAAAGATATCCACTAACTATAAAATTACACATATATTTCACTGAAAAAGTCCAGCACCTGACATTTTAGCACACGGAGAAGCTTCCTTTATACGAGCGCCTCGCTGATAAACAGTATCACCGACTTGATCAACTTCACTCGGCGTCAGGCCAGCTTGCACATACCCGAATAGGCGGCCATTACAATGCCAACAGTGAAAATATGGTTTTCAGTCGCAAGACATTACAGTTGATAGGAAAACTATTTTCAGAAGTTGATTTTTCTTATCAATATTCATTTAAAAGCAAGATTCCTGCTTAGAGCCTAATATTTAGCTAAGTTCTATTATGCGACGTATTTGACCTAGTTTTGCCGACATGCTTGATAGTAAAACAGCGTCACCAAAACAACATTAATGGGATTATCTTTTAAAAGAAAGATGAAATAGATATGACAGGCCAGAATAAATTATTGAAACATTATTATTCTATGTTTGCTAAGAAGCACATTTTAAACATTGATTTATGCAAGTTTTAATCCCGGAACTATTTTTAGAACGACCGGCTGTCATTTCCAGACGCCATCTTGAATTTTTCGAAGGCAAGAATATTTCAAAGAAGTTTCCACAATATTAACATCTATTAAATGCTTGGTGCCTTGATTTTTCATGGATTTGTAATAGTCTATCATTTTAGAAACTTACCAAGCTTTTGAACGCGATTTTTAGTTGATCAAGTCGGGCCACAGTCACGAGTTTTTACGTGGCGTTGTTAGCAGTATGGCGGACATAGGCATTCTAGCCTTTGTTCATCGTTCACTTTGCGATATACATACGCTACGGAAAGTAGGACCTTCATATTGTGCAATTCATGTATGGTGATAGAGAGAATTGATTTTTATTTGAAATGCTGTTCATATCAAAACATATTTTCCTAGTTCATTAAGTCCACAATTTTATATAGAACATTCTTCAGTGCACTGATTTACCAAAAAGACGTCTCGCCACAACGCCATCGTTTCCCACCCTTTCTTTGTAGAGAGATCATGTGATCAATTATGCAAATATCAGATATTCTTGCGCATGAATAAAAAGTAGTACACTATAAATAATAACAAATGCACATGTGTTTTATTCTTAGATTTTGGAACTGAACTTGGACAGTTGTCGTGCTCCCCAGATTGACGGTTTAACAGAAGAGTTCTCAGAATTAGAATCACTTAGCTTAATTAATGTTGGATTAACATCATTAAAAGGGTTTCCCAGCTTACCAAAATTACAAAAGGTAGGTACTCATTGTATGTCAGGAATAAAGTGGAACAAATCATTTGCATAAATTTGAACAAAAGGAAAGTAGTGTAGTGTTTTGAACTAAATTGCAGAATGGAATCTTGTGATGAAAATTCATGTTGCCTGCATGCTTCAACATTTGTAAAGTAAAATTTATAAACCATCAAATGATATTTTTTTTTAAATTTACAGCTAGAATTAAGTGATAACAGGATCCAGTCTGGCCTTCAAAACCTCCAGGGATGTCCAAACCTGACACATCTTAGCCTTAGCGGAAACAAAATCAAAGAAATTGATACTTTAGAACCATTGGTATGTCATCAAGATCAACCAAAGCAATCAGTTTTAAATATTGATTAGAATACTTACCAAATCAAAAATATCATTTACAGAAATGTATTGAAATAATGTATTTGCACAACAGAAGCAACCCCCTCCCCCCCCCCCCAAAAAAAAAAGGGTCATTAAATCATTCATCAAAAAAGATTTCATGTGATTTGCAAATTATGTTTCGTAAATAAAAAGCAAAAAATTAATTTGTCGAGTACAGTGTTAAATATTTTTATTTATAATGAAATAGAAGCAAACTGCATTTTTTTTCAACAGAAAAACTTCAGTGAATTAAAGCACCTTGACCTATTTAACTGTGAGGTGACCCAGTTAGATGACTACAGAGAACAGGTGTTTGAACTCCTCCCCAACCTCAAGTTCCTGGATGGCTTTGATAGAAATGATAAAGAGGCTGATGAAGATGAAGAAGATGGTAAAACTTACTTGTATTTTGCTCTTTACAGCTCACAAGATGTAGCATTTTAGCTTGAATATTACGCTTAGTATTAGGACTGGGTATTTGCTAGAGGTTTCGTATCACAATATACTGCAATATTTCTAACTGTATTGCAATATGTAATGCAGCTATATTTTCAACGATTACCGGTACTACTAAAACATAATGCAGTCTGATATTTTTTGTCATTGTACCACAATATACTGGAATATGGGTATTATTATACAGCTCTAAGTAACATGAAATAAAATATATTGCTTCCAATATTTTTGAACATCAAATGAATTTCCTTGGTTTGTAAGGATAGTATTAGAAAGGGCAAAATTTCAGTAATGGAAATGTTTTATTTTTCCACAACTATAGTATTGAAAACTCAAAAAGAAGTATCAAAATATTCTAGAAAGACAGCATGTTAATATGGGTTAATTAAATACACTGTTTCTTTTTTCTAAAAAGAGGTATGCTGTAGGAAGTCACTGTGTTTGTTTTTAACGGTGTACGAGGGGTTATCAAAAAGTTCGTGGACTAGCGCCATAAAATTAAAACCGCTTTAGGTACATCAATGAATTTTAATACATTTACTTAGCATCATCTTTTCTATCGATAGAATAAACCATAAATCATAAGTTTTATTTTTTAATAAATTGTTATTGTTTTTGTAAGCAATGGTATGTCCAAGTGGCGCAGCCTCAAATACGATGTTTTTTCCTACCTTAGTGTAACTGTGAAAAACTCTTTTGAAATGAGCATTTGTCTTCAAAAAATCTGGTTAATCCAGGCATGTGGTACAACACAATTGTTCCGTAAAATTTGCAATTTTTACCCCATTCTGAAAATTCTGTGAAATTTTATCGTAAATTTATATGGAGTGTACAAACAATTAAAGGCTAAAAAATGATGTCAAAAAGGGGGAGGGGTTTCTGTTTCCAACATTCTTTGAAGTTTCGCACCTGGAAAAACTGGTATAGACCTAGGGAATGTTTAAACGGGCTACAGAAAAATAAAACACATCCAGAGTACTCGTTTTAAATAGCCAAAAAGATTCAGAGAGATGAAAGATGCACAGTTAAAGTCAATTTGTAGTGAGGGTATCAGTCACGTCGAAAAGTGACGTTGATCATGTGTGATAGAAATTGAACTCCATCAAGCTAAGTATTCTGGTATAATCAAGTGAGGATGTTTCCTTATGTATAGATACATTTACAATATTATATGCAATGAAAGCAGCTCTTCATGACATTGTAAAGTCACATAAACAAAACGGACTTAAGTCCTTACTTAACTCCAGGTAATCACATCAAGATAAGTGTATAAGGTAGATGGAGTGGACATTGAGAAACAATGACGTTGTTGGACGTCATGAAACTAAACGGCGACAGCGCCGGGTGATCATATAATGTCTTTTTTATTTTAGAATAATTTGGCAAATTATCAATGTATCAAGTTAAAATTTTCAACATTTCTTAAACTTTTGTTGATTTATGTTTTTCATAAATTTTGTAAGCACAGACTACATAGTATTAATTTTATCGCATCAGTCCACGAACTTTTTGATAACCCCTCGTATGTTTGTTTTACAGGTGACGAAGGGTCAGAAAATGAAGATGATGATGACGATGATGATGACGATTTAGACAATGAAGGTAAGTCCCTTGTATGCATGACATAAAGACTCATAACTAGGATAAGGACATTTGTTTGATTGTCTATCCAGTGGTCTTATTATAATTGCTAATCTTTGGACTGCAAGCTTAGACTTGTCATTTATTATGGTTTTCTTCTGTTTTTATTTGCAGAATCTTTTTAGTCCAATGCTTCTTTGTGGACTAGGGGCATCAAAAAAAAAATTACGCACCCTTATCTTTTCTCATGTAGACAAAGATTGTGTATAACTACATGTATAAGTAGTTCAAAAGACACAACAGTCATCAACATGATGAATATCTGAAGTCCTTTGTTAAATGTTCTGTTTTAAGACAGTAAAGTGAACAAGGGTGCTTCATTAATTCACAAAGGTCCTCAAAATTTTCAGTATTTATAGTAATGCAAATGGACAATACAAATGTAAACTATTTTGTAGATGATGATGATGACGATGAAGAGGGCGATGAAGATGAAGAGGATGACGAGGAGGAGGAAGAAGAAGATGAAGATGGTGTAGATGATGAAGAGGTTGGTCTAGACTATCTCCAGAAGGAAGACATTGAAGTTAGTCATCACACATAGGCCTAGATACAGCTCCGCTTCTGGTGTGGGCCAGAGATAGACATTTCCTTCACTCTGGGTTTAATGTAGACATGGTACCATAAAGTTAAGAGTGTTTAGTTCGTGGTAGGAAGAAGTTGGCTTATATTCACTTCATTTTCTGCACAGTACGTTGTGTGGCAGTGAAGCAAAATGGAGAGGGTCTGTTTCATTTCTCACAAAAACAATATGAAAACAAAAAATATAAGTTGAAAAATGTAATTAACTATAAAGGATAAAAGGACCAAGCCAGAAGCACAGCTGTATTTTCTTTGGCCTTAATAAAACCCAGTAATTTTTTGTATGCAGTGATAGTTTAGAAATCACAGTGTTCATTATATCATGAAACTAACTTGTTGACATTTGGAACGAATATGGTATAGAATGTAAACGTAGAATTTGTTATTTCATCCCCCCAAGAAAAAATAGAGGACACAATGCAGGTTGAAAAATGTAATCAAATAAGGATGGTGTGGACCAAGCCAGAAGTACAGCTCTATCCTCCCTTAGCCTTTTAAAAAAAACCTGAGTACACTCTTCCCATTATGTCACGAAGCTAATTTGTTGACTCTAGATGGGCCTATCTTCTACATTTCATGTGTTCATATGCTGTCTGGTAAAGTGCTAGCATTACTATAAAAATCCCTTTCTTGGAAAATAATAAAAAAAAATTAAATAACTCTGCTGACACTTTTACCATTCTTGGTGTTTGATTACCTAAATGTTTAAAAACAAAGAAATTTAAGACCATTTTCTTTTTCTTATTTGAAGGATGACTCCGAGGGTGAGGATTTTGACCCTGTAGATGGAGAAAACGAGGATGAAGAAGGTAAGTTGTGGTGGAGGGTAAATAATTTATGTGACTGTAGCATCAATACACATAGTTCTATGCTAAAGTATGATTGCTTTAACCTGCATCTGTATGAATATCCTTTACAGAAGATTATGTGAATTAAAGGATATGTTTTGTTCAGTGTTAGAGCTAGAAAGTCAGTTAAAAGATTAAATACAAAAATGGGTACCAGTATTAAATGAAACAGTATTTTACAGTTTTGAAACTTCTCGGTACGGATAACAAGTACTGGTATCCAATCATTTGATTGATTGATTGTGTTTGTTTAATTGATTGATTGTGTTGATGATTGATTGTATTGATTGATTGTGTTTTACAGAAGAGGAGGAGGAAGAAGAAGATGAGGAACCCCACCGAGGGACCAAGAGAAAACATGAAGATGAGGAAGACGGGGATGATTGATCCCCCGGGGGGGCCCCCGTCTGTAAATCCATGTATATTTGTACAGTTACTGATAAAACCATGTTGTTTATTGACTGATGATAGCTCAGGTTTGCAGCACCTACACCATCTCTCTGATGATTCCAGCCTACGAGTGCACTCGATCTCATCTCTCCTCATCCTGAGTGCATTTGCAGTCTTCTGATAAAACTCGTTCTGATACTGAGAGCAGCTTAGGTCATCATTCTTACAGATTCTTGACTCTTAGATATTGTGATCCAGAAGTTTTAATTGAAAATCAGAACAAGAGAAAAAACATTCTTCATGAAATCTGAAATACATTTAAGTCTATTTATGTCTCATGCACATTAGTCGTCATAGGTCAAAAGGTCACGTGGAGTGAATGGAATTCTAAGTGCTGAAATGATGTTTTATGTTTATCATATATCACCTGAAGTGTTTTCTTGAAGAGTAATAAAGAATTCATGTATAATGTAATTGATATTTAATTGGCAAGAAACTGATTGTTTTTATTATGACTGTTATTTAATTTAAGCTCTGCCAAGGACAGATTTTTTTTCAAATATGAATTTTTGTTTCTGGTTTGTTGCGTCTGATACATTATGCATCTAAGTCTTGAATTTTGCATGTATTAAATAAGGCTGAGATTACAATGTTAGAGATTTAAATAAATGAAGTGAAACTAGAAACAATTTGCATGAAAATACTTTGAAGAATTTTTTTAGTTTAATGTTATCGAGTTTTATATGTGACATGTATTTTAATTAACACTTTATTAAATACATATCTAGGATTTCCACTGCCTGTAAATGTTCATCAATTCAGCACTAATGTTGAATGAAGTATTGATTGGGAAGAAAAAGCAAATATTTTTTTTTAAATGTGTAAATTTGTAAATCATCTCTAGTACTTCATTGTAAATGACATCAAACTTAGCAATTTATGTGTATAGTACAGCAAGAGGCATAACTCTTGCAACATCTTGAAAAATTAAAAGGTTTTTATATTGACAGTAATTATCTTTCTTGAGAAGCCAAGTTCTAAGGCAGGCAGAAACTTAAAGTGTAAAACTTGTGAGCTTTGATGTTGAATCTGAACAGTTTGATGTGCAGCTGAGTGTGCGTTCCACTGATTCTGTGGTGGTAGAAGCGTCACGACATAGATGATAAGGAGTTTGTAGAAACAGATTTTCACAATGAGCAAATTTTGTTAATGTTTGTTGTCATGGGCTGAAATGCACTTAAAATTTAAATGCACATAAACCTTGAAATGTACTTTGCAATAGCAGATTTTTTTTAAATAAAATCTAGACCTTTAATCCTCGAGTATTTAGTGGCAAAGTGATATTAAAGTAATTTCTCTTATTTATGCTGTGCAAGCTGGCATCCAAACTTCTTTTGATTTGCCTACTAGTATTTTGATAAAACAGACAATCTGTCTTGATCATCACTGAAATGAGGAGGCCATTCGTCACATCTGGTGTTTACATAGATAAAAATTATTTTTATTCGTCCTGTTACAAGTTTAAATGCTAGCTTACTATTCATAAATGTGAAATTATTGGAATATCATATTGCCACTGAATACTCTTGGTTAAAAAGGCTAGATTTTTAAAAAAAAATTCAGCTATTGCAAAGTGTATTTTTATTTGTACATGGAATATATCTTACTTGGAAAAGGGTGAATTAAAAAAAAATGACCAAATGCATATTTATCAACCCACACTAAAAATACAGGCAATGAAAATAGATTTCTATGTCTCAGCATATGTCTTTAGATAGTGTCTAAATACCTGCCAAATATCTCGTTGATATCTCAATTAACAAAAAAGTTATGCCCAAAAATGATGCTAAAATTGTCAGGAGTGCAACACCTTTTTGTGACATTTTGAAATTGCAATATTTTTTGGAGATCTGTGAAATAAAAAATAATGCTTCATGTTGAAATTAAAGACTTTCCTGATAATATTCAAAGTATTGAGCTTTAAATGTGGACTGTCATAACTTTTGTTTAATCAAGTTGTGGTCATGGCTGATGTTTAAAAAAATGTTATACCATGTCAGGAGTGCAACAGAAAAAATGTAGTGTTGCCAAAAAAACATCAATTGTAAAATTCTGATAGAAAATTAAGACAAAAAAGAATTTTGGAAGTGTAAAATAATAACTGATATACATTTTAAAACTTAAAAATGTTATATAAATCACAAGCAGCATTAATGAGAGTCAAGTATATGTGCATACCCCAAAATGTCAGGAGTGCAACATTTGATGCTTTACTCCCAAGCATGAAAAAACTATTATCATTATATGATTTTCTGATTTTTATTTTGGAAAATAAAGACACAAAGAACATTTTTACCAAATAGATTTATCAATTACAGGATCTGTCTGTGCTTCAGATCCATATTTCTGTGGTCAGGAGTGCAACACATTTTTTAAAAGATTCAAGTTGTGTGACGAAAAGACTTCTGTTCATGCTTAGAAGTATTCATTAATTAATAATGATCTTTTTGTATAATTTAATGCTAAATTATTGACAGTTTTATTATTAAAATCCTTCCTTTTTTCCATTTTATCAATTCAGATGTGTTTTTATCTTTTTGTGATTTTTTTAATGAATGTTAAAAATAAACACACTAAAACATTGTCATTAAATTCAAGTAATTCCTCCTCAACTTCACTGAAACAACAGAACAAGTTCTTTTGTAATTTTCACTTCACAATTCTACTTTAAAGGCCCCAATGCTTTTGGTCAGGAGTGCAACAAATATGTCAGAATTATAAATCATCCACTAAGAATAAAAATAAAGAAAAAATGATGAGTAGAATTTCTCTGGTGGGTTACTGTGTTTGTCTTCTAAAGGAAAATATGCTTTAAAATATATTTTATCTTCTAAATATACATTTAAGCTAGTTTTTGGGCATAAAATAGGGTATAATTCCAGATAAAATGCGAATTTTAAATACTTTCATCTGTTTTAATTATGAAGTATTGGACTATAAGTATTGCACAATTTCATTACCACTTGATGTTGCCAATACTTTATGAATTTTTGTGTTCTATGGTTTTAATTTTAAACTTTACTGCAGTCAGGAGTGCAACAAAACTGCTTCATAATTACGAATGCTTTTTAACTATCTTTACTAAAAAATAAGTTGAAAAAAAATGCTTGATACTAAATTACAGAAATTTTACAGTCAATTCAGGGAATAGTTTTCATCATTTCACATATATTTTAAATACATTTTATATATATTACACTTTGCAAATAATCATGTTTTAAGGTCTTCAACATATGAAAAACTTGCTGTAAACGATGAAAAATATCAACACGGCAAATTGATTTACAAAGTAAGAATGGGTTATTGTGTGTTATAATTTTTAAAACAATGTTAAGTAAAGTACATATCAGATGTCAGGAGTGCAACACAATAATGTAGCATAGGGTCACTTCAAAATCTAGTATTTTTTGTAAGAGAACTCGTATAAAACAATTCTTTTTTGGCTTTGATTTAAAGAATTGACTTGAACAGACAAAAAAGTGAATTTTGGGGAATTTTATTGCTTCATATTTTTTTCATATTAAAACTTTTCAAACCAGAATTGAAAAAATAATGTAAAATAACAATCAAAAAGCCAATTTCTTGTCACATGTACAAGAGAAGATACTCATTCAAGATCTAGATTTAATCATTTATACCCCTTTTACCATTTTGAAGCATAAAAAACTATAATTTGTTGTGATTATGTATTTTAGAAAGTCTTTTAAGGTGTAATGATATTTTCTTTTTTCAAAAGAAATTTTTCTAATAAAAATTCTGAAACTTTTTAATTCAATTGTCTATTCTATTGCCACTTCAGGATTTTAAACTAGAATGCATTTGCAATATGATGATATAAGTGAAAAATATGTTACAAGTAGTTGAATTTTGCCAAAAAAATTCAGTTTGGTGGTCTTTTTTTTTTAATTCACCCAAAACTGTCTTTTTTTGGTCAACTTCGTAACTATGGTTTGCAGGGGATGTAACTCTAGGCTATATCAATCATGGTGACAGCTTACAGAAAAAAGTAAATTATACATAAGCATATTGAAGGTGAAGTAAAAGGAAGACTAACTAGCATTTATAAACAACAGTAGTTTTGAAGGAAAATTCTTGACAACACAAGTTATTATATGCAACTTTCAAATTAGAATCTGTAATGCATTAATGTAGAGTTATCAGTTGGAAAGGGTGGGGGGGGGGGGGGGCAGTTAAAAAAAAAGGTGTGATGCTAGTTTTGCATTGCTTCATATTAGAGTGTTCCAAATGCACTTTGATGGCTTCGATAAAAGGTTTGTTTTGGAAGGACCTCCTCAAGTGACATCTCCGGTAAGGCTGTGGCATGGTTATTCCTCAAACAGTTGATAGGCTTCAGAGACTTCATGTCTATGTGTGGTTGTCAAAATTGCTATCGCTTATTCACCTGAAATTGTAGAATTTAGGTCACTTAGGGGACCTATTGCATCCTGCATTAACATATGAATATCTGGAACCACTGAACCAATTTCAACCAATTTTGGTATATATCATCTACGGGCAACGGGAAACAAAAATTACCTGTGGGGCCTGAATGGATGGGGCCAAAACCATCAAAATTAACGCAATTTTCAAAAATCTTGTTTTTTTTTTTTACTGGACATCAAGCAGTTAAACTGTTGGCGTAATTTTAATGAGACAGGAGCCATTTCACCATTGTGAAATCAATGGTCCCATATTAGGCCAGGGGTTTGGAGCAAGGGCGCACCAAAACCAAACTTGTCACAAAGTATCCCAAGGTGATGGGGATTTTCATTTTTCTTCAAAGAAGGACCATGTCCCTTTCCACCAATAAAGGGCAATAAAGGTGGGAATATTTAAAATTCTTCAAAACATTCAGTCGCCCGCGTGGCGCAGTGGTTAGAGCGTCTGCTCTGGAGTCGCGGGTTGATCCTTACGTCGCGGGTTCGAATTCCACTGTGGGACGTGGAGACCCGTCCTTCGGATGAGACCGTATAAACCGAGGTCCCGTGTCGCAGTAGGTGCTGGCACGAAAAAGATCCATCACTGCTCAATGGCCGTAAGTGCCGAGTATAGGGCAAAATTTGCAGCTCTCCACCGGCAAGTGGTGGCGTCTCCTTATGAGTGAAAAATTCTCGATCGAGACGTTAAACAACAATCAATCAATCAAAACATTCAAGTTTATTCAAATCATGGGTCCTGGGATAAGAGCGCGGCCATGACAGGGGATAGAATTTTTCACATAGGTGCATATAGGAAAAAACATTCCTTTTTTTTTGCAAGCAATAGGGTCATGATAAGTGAATTAAATATGCAAGCATGATCTAGTAGTGCAGATTCATTTGTTCAACTCATGGTGTCAGGGGATAGAATTAGACCAAAATATGGTATCAAAGTTTTACGGAAAAAAAGTAGAAAATCTTTAAATATCTCAAAAACAACAAGGTTATGATTAGTTATATTGATATGTTAACTTCTTTAGGTAGTGCGAACTTAAATTTGTTCATTAAATCATGACTCTCCTGTAGTAGAATGGGGTCACTATGGGGGATCAAACTTTTAAATGGGAATTCATAAATTATCTTCATTTTTTTCTTCTTGAAAACAACATGAATATGATATTAGTCGTCTTAAAATTCAACCATCATCGGGTAGTGTAGATCCATGTTTGTTTAACCGTGTAATGCATGGTCCCAAGATCTAAGATGGCACCTCACTTCTTACAAGTTTACATTTATATATTTATTAAAAAAAATTCTTATTTAAACCAGCAAGGCCTTGATGTCATATCAATATGCCAGTATGTTAAGGTCGTACAGATTCATTTTTTAAATTACCACCCAGGCGGTGGGGTCTTCTACTCAAAAAGAGCAGGGCCATGATAATTCAATATGCTCGGGTAGTGCAGATTCTATTTTTTCTTCAAATAATGGCTGTCATGGATATCATAAAGCCAAAATAGGCTATCAAAAT